TCTTACTAGCAGACGTAGAGGCCGAGATTTCACACAAGGTGGCCCTCTTTGCCCTCGCTGCAGAGAAAATTCGGAAAAAATTAGTAGCAGCACCAGAGCTCGATTATTAACGGAGACCAGGATGGAAGAGTTGGAATTATTGAGATGTTTTATTGTGTATTAAATTAGCTTTTTATTTTTCTGGTTTTAGTAGTTTATATCTTGTTCGGTCATTGCAATGGCCTGTAGCTAAAGGCAATAAAAACTGAACCTAACCTACAGTTTCTACTAATTTGCGTGGGGAGAGGATAAAATGCAAGAAGGAACAAAGTGACTTTGGGTGTCCGACGGGAGAAGAGCAGGGTGTAAATAAGTAAAAACCAGCAGCACTTTAAACTGGATCCAGAAAAAACCTGGCAGCCTCCAAAGAGCTCGACGTACTTGCTCTGGTCTATCCTTGGGTCTTGCCCCCCCTGAGGCTATTCCGTCATATTGCTACACTTTAAAGATCCCAAGACAACGCAGAGCGTTCACCTTGGCGAGACTTAACTCCTTCCCCTCTAAGGTGCTCTCTGGTCGTTTCTTGGGACTTCCATTTTCGGAACGTGTTTGCGACTGTGGACAAGAGATGATAGAAACTATAGATCATATAATGCTTTTTTGTCCTAAGTGGAATAAGGAAAGAGAGAGATACATCATTCCCGTTATGAGAAAAGAAAAGCTTCCCCTCCTTCCTTGGGTAGTTTCAGTGCTATTGTCTGATAACTTCCCTGACAATCAAACCACGGCTATAGACCCCACGGTGATTTATTTATTTAGAATATCTCTATGTTGCCTCTTCAGAGTTTTTATGAACTGAGATCCAGGCAGCTCTTAAACAAGTGATTTCGTTTTTTCAGCTCATAACAACACAAGACAAAAATGCATAGAACCAGGCTGACTTATATACAATTTGAACCGGGGTAACCACACCCAACAGACAGCTAACAACCAATAGGAATACTCGGCTTGGAACCTATGAGATTGGTTCCCGCCGAAAACATAGGCTTCTGTGATTGGTTAGTTCTTCAATCCAACACTGCTTGGTTTTAATGGAGCTTATGCTTAAGCTAAACATTGCTTTATTCACTTAAGACATAACAAGAGTCCTACTTGATTTCCCACGACTGGCCTCAGATCAGCCCTGTGGCCAGCTCCTTCTTCACGATCTGACCCAACTGTGGATTGCAGACTTTTTAAAGACCACCACCACCACCCCCATCACAATTTCTATCCGGTTCTTTCTCCAAGGAGCGACACAGTTCTCTCCCCTGATTTATCCTCACAAATTTTTGCTGTTTTAAAATTGTTTTTAAGTGTATTATATTGTATTAATACTGCTGGAACCCGCCCTGAGCCTGGTTGCGGGGAGGGTGGAAGACAAGACCAATCAAGCAAACAAACAAACAAACAAACAACCCTGGGAGGTTATGTTAGGCTGAAAGGGACTGTGTGGCCTAAGGTCATCCAGTGAGCTTTGTCAATGAACCATGATTTGAATCCAGGTCTGTCTAGCTGAAATCCACTACACTAACCACTACTGTGGTGTTCTTAGAGGCTTTAGACTTCAGTATCTGCTGGGACAGGAAACAAGCAGAAGCCAGGAGTTTTGGGCCTGGCCTAGACTGCTTTGCTGACTGAGTGAGGCCACAGTTGTTATGGCAGTTCAAGTTCCACAATAAACCTTGTTCTGAATGTCGACTGTATTTAGTTGCATAACACCCCACATCAACTTCCTAAAACTCTTCCCAAGTGTGGTTGCCAGTTGTCAGGAAACTGGCCTATCTCTAGCTGGTTCTTGTCCTTTCCAAAATGTTGGTTCAGGCTTTTGGGCCTAGTAAGCTACAAAAGGCCCCTCTCTGGAAAGTGAAGGTCATGATGACTTGCAGTCCAGACTGAGGGATGAGTTGGGCACAGGTGCAAGTGAGATCATGGGCGCTTCAAGGCCAGAGAGCAGGAGGGAGTTTTGCAGTCGCATTCTATCTCATTAGCGGAAGGAACCCTGGGCGGGGGCGGGGGCTTGTTTGACTTGGGCACAGGCCACCTGCAGAGGTACATTGTCAGGTGTCTTAGCAACCCACCTGACTGGTGTTGTACACCAGCTGCAGGCAGGCTGCATTCTAGTTTGTACCTTTGGGTCATCCTTTTGACTAGGTTGGGCCTTGTGTGGCCGGAATACTGTAGCACGGTGAAAGGGGCCTAAGCCCAAGCAAAGACCACCGGATCAACAGGAGGAGAAGAAACTTTAATGGCACCAGGTTCAGTCAGCGAAGAACGCTTTAAACAGACTGAACCCAGAGCAACGCAGGCTGTAGGCTTTTATACAGCAACAAAGTTACACGTCACATCTTACATCATAAGTGGAATTTCCCACTAACTAGGCTTATTTTTCCAGCCCAAAACAATCAAGCTTGCTTCTGCCCCTATTGGCTGGAATGCGACCAGCAACTATCCCCTTATATGGTCAAAGAGTCATTTGAATAATAAATGCCTGCTTCAATACCTGCCTCTTGGATTTTGGACTTTGCAACCTTACCTGGACTCAGTGCTCCGGTTTAGTCAGCTAACATCTGCATCTTAGATTAGCTATTTAGAAATAATTATTTTCTTCCTCACCTTAGGTAAAGGTAAAGGTTTCCCTTGCTCAAAAGCCAGTCTAGGGTTGTGGTCTCATCTCCGTTTCCAAGCCAAAGAGCCATCGCTGTCCAAAGACTTCCCCGTGGTCACTGAAGTGGTACCTGTTTATCTACTTGCAATTTCTTGCTTTTGAACCGCTAGGCTGGCAGGAGCTGGGGCCAGAGACGGGAGCTCACTCCGTCTTGTGGCACTCGGGTCTCAAACTGCTGAGCTGCCGGCCTTCCAGTCTGCAACTCAGTGTCTCAGTGACCTTCCAGTCAGCAGTTCAGCGTCTTAACCACTTGAGCCACCACAGCCCCTTGCTGGAAAGCCAGTCGAATCCGACTCATCTCCGGTGGTGCTCATCTCCGTTTCCAAGCCAAAGAGCCATCGCTGTCCAAAGACTTCCCCGTGGTCACTGAAGTGGTACCTGTTTATCTACTTTCAATTTCTTGCTTTCGAACTGCTAGGCTGGCAGGAGCTGGGGCCTGAGACGGGAGCTCACTCCGTCATGCAGCACTCAGGTCTTGAACTGCTGAGCTGCCGGCCTTCCGGTCTGCAACTCAGTGTCTTAACCTCTGAGCCACCTCACCTTACCCTGCTCTTATATTTGTACACGTTTGCACATTTTTTAAAATGGTGGTGGAAAGTGCCGTCAAATCACAGCTGACCTGCCTGGCCCCTGGTGGGGTTTTCAAGGCAAGAGACATCCAGAGGTGGTTTGCCATCGCCTGCCTCTGCGTCACGACCCCGGTATTCCTTGGTGGCCTCCCATCCAAATACTAGCCAGGGCCGACCCTGCTTAGCATCCAAGATTGGACGAGATCGGACTAGCCTGGGCTATCGAGGTCAGGGCTTTCTTTTAATAAACCTTATTAACTATACTTCTGTGGTGTCATTGAGGTCTTGGGGCTTCAGTCTAAACCTAGCACCTTGGCCTGTTTTGGCAGCAGCTAGCAAAGTCATTGTTTTTGGAACCCAACTTGCAAGGGTCCTACCTGGCAGGGCTGACTTCTTGATTAACATCCGAAAGGGTTAGAGACCTGATCTCTCGGCTGACGGGTTCACCAGATGGGCTGGGGGTGAGTGACTCATTACCCTGGGCACCCCAGTCTTGCGTGTTTTGTTTTGCTCTGGCCTGTCCCTACCCCGTGACACCAACCTCCAGGCGGGGCAAGGAGTTCTTCTGGGCTTACAACCAAGGCTCCCTCTAAGCTGTGTAGTCTTGTGAGCAAAAATTCTACTTTGTGACCTATTGGCATTAAAGTTGTGAGCGAGCGATTTGCCTGCTGCATAAATTAGTTTGCTCTGGAGCCATCCTTCCTGGGCTAAGACAAAAAGGTGTGAGCCAGAGGCTAAAAACTGAGCTAGCTCACACTAACTCATCTTAGAGGGAACACTGCTTACAACTGATCCCAGACTACAGAGATCAGTTCCCCTGGAGGAAATGGATGCTTTGGAAAGTGGAGTGTGGCCTTGTGCTCCACCAATGTCCCTCCTCTTCCCAAATCCCACCCTCTCCAGATTCTACCCCCAAAATTTCTGGGAATTTCCCAATCAGAAGTTGCCAACCCTGTGTATGCAGTCACTCTAGTCTAAACCCACTGAAAGCACTGTGAGTGAATGAGTAATGGTCCTTTTAAAAAAACAAAACACCCCTTCTGTTGCAAACTCACCTGCTGTCCTTCGTCAAGCCGCCGCCTCAGTTCCCACCTCTGCAAGATGAAGATAACAATAACGGCCTACATTACAGAGCTGTTGTAAGATTAATGATGTGTATGAAGTGCCCTCACCTGGATAGCCCAGGCAAGCCCAATCTCGTCAGATCTCGGAAGCTAAGCAGGGCCAACCCTGGCAAGTAGTTGGGTGGGAGACCACCAGAGAATACCAGGGTTGGGAGGCCGGAGTCAGGTAATACCAAAAGCCACCTCTCTGAAATATCCAAGCCCCACTAGGGGTTGCCAGAAGTCACCACGACTTCCAGGCTTGCAAGCACACACACACACACACACACACACACAAATACCCCCCAAAAAAGAATCCACAATGTGTGTGAAGTGCTCTCACTGCTCGTAAACATGCTTAAGTGCGAATCAACACGGCCACTCCAAAGGGCAATCTAGAACCTACATGTATTTGTCACCCACAAATAAGCCGTAGAATGTGGGGAAGGGTGAGGAGATGCTCTTAGCTTGAGCCTGTAGTGCCCTCCCAGTGAAGCAGTGAGACTCTCACCACTGACATCTCTTGCCAAAGCCCATTTGTCTGGGCTGCCTCTGAACCACACGCAGCACAAGCCACAATGGACCCTGCAAGGTGCCAACCAGTTGATGGTACTAATTACGTATTCGGGCATGTTAACTCACCGGGAGTTTGCTGTACCCATTCCTGCGTTCCTTAGTCCTTCTCAAATGGTATATTGTTTGGAGACAAACCACACTTTCTTCCGGAAAAGCAACAGAACCATTAAAGAGTTTGTTAGGCAGATAAAGAAGCCCTGCTGAAGGCACACTGCTCCAGGTTTTAAAGGCCACATGTACGATTGGGCTGAACTCCTTGCACACAGCTCCCACATGGGAATTCTCTCTTGATCTGGCAGGTGATTCATGTCGACAGCTTGATTTATTTCAGTCTGGTTGAGACACTTCCTCTCCCGACCCCCTTTCCATGCTCTGGGTGCTGAAGAAAGACATATGAATGGGTGGGGGGGGGCAACACTCTCCAATTATTTATTATTTCTGAAGCATGACAGGCAAGAAGGAGCAAGCCCCAAACTCTGCCCCGCAGAAGGAAAGCACATCCGAGAAGCAGGGGCAGAAGTTCTGTATGTGTTGCAACTTCAGACAGATTTGAGTCCTTAAACGCCAGCCAGATGGCCAGGAATGCGTCCCAGATGGCTTGGAGACGGCGTAAATCTTTTGCTGAGGATTCTCTCAGCTTTGCTTCCTTGGTGAAAATAAAAAATAGATGTGCACTTTGTGCTATTTCTGTGGGACCCACAAATACAACCATTTTGTAACAGAAGGTTATCAAATAATTGTGCTTAACTTCTGTCCTGTCTTTCTCGGGGGGAGGGGGAGGGGGGTGGACTCATGCCAGGTAACATCAACCCAAAACCGTATGGAGGCTGACAGAGGGCCTTTTATCTCACTGTTTGTTCAGCATATAGTTCACAAGGCCTCCTCAGTGGGCACTGCGGAAGAGAGGCTAGTAGTAGTTTCAGTGGTAGCTTTTGATGGCTACTGGCTAGTAGCACCTGCATATACCCAGGCTATTCAGATGGGGCCCGGGGTGAAACAGTTTGCAGCTGAAAGACTGGCTTTGCATTCTGAAGGAGGTGCAGGGTAGAGGAGGGGGCTCGGAAGAGAAGCCATAGGCTTTTTTTTAGACCAGCCCCATGCTACGTATTAGGGGCTGCGGTGGCTCAGAGGCTAAGATGCTGAGTTGCAGACCGGAAGGTCGGTAGCCTGGCCGTTTGAGACCCGAGTGCCACGTGACGGAGTGAGCTCCCGTCTCCGGCCCCAGAGCCTGCCAGCCTAGCAGTTTGAAAGCAATAAATTGCAAGTAGATAATTAGGTGCCACTTCGGTGGGAAGGTAACAGCGTTCCGTGCGCCTCGGCGTTTAGTCATGCCGGCCCCGTGACCATGGAGAAGTCTTCGGACAGCGTTGGCTCTTCGGCTTGGGAACGGAGATGAGCACCACCTCCTAGAGTTGGATTTGACTGGCTTTCGAGCAAGGGAAACCTTTACCTTTACTATGCTACATATTAGTAGAAGAGAAGGGTAATATGAAGAACACTGTTAAATCTCCTGTGCTTCCCCACACACACACAGCTAAAAGAGCAGCCACCTGAGGTCTTTTTAGCCAGGGCTGCCAAGGACTGATCCTTCTCCATGAACCCTGCAGCCACTGAGGAGGGGCCGTGGCTCAGTGGCAGAGCGTCAGCTTTACGTGCAGAAGGTCCCTGGTTCAATTCCTGGAGTCATGAATTCAGAGGGTCAGTTGGGAGGTGACGTGAAAGACCTTTCTCCACTGGAGACCCTGGAGAGCTGCTGCTAGTCAGAGGAGAGGAGGGTGACCTTGACGGCCCACGGAGCTGAGTCTGTAGAAAGCAACTTAGTGTGAGTTCATGGGACCATCAGCCTTACACTGGATCAGACCAATGGTGGTCAGTAAAACAAAAATGACAGAGACCCCATAAGCCTCAAGTGTGTTTTCTCATCCAGAGGAAGCAGAACGCGGGTTCCTGGGGGGGGGGGGAATGATATTTTTGGCTTTTTGTTACTGTCCATGGGGTTTTCTTGGCAAAGATCCTGGAGTGGCTGGCCATTTCCTTCTCTGAGCACCAAAGAATAGATGCTTTCGAATTATGATGCTGGAGAAGACTCTCGAGAGCCCCTTGGACTGCAAGAAGTTTGAATCAGTCAATCCTAAAGGAAATCAACCCTGACTGTTCCCTGGAAGGCCAGATACTGAAGCTGAAGCTCAAATACTTTGGCCACCAAGTGATAAGGGAACACTCAATGGAGAAGACCCTGGAGGTTGGGAAAGACTGAAGGTCAAAGAAGAAGGGGACGGCAAAGGATGAGAGGGTTAGAGAGTGTTATCGAGGCAACGAACATGAAATTGAGCATACTCCGGAGGACGGTGGAAGACCGGAGGGCCTGGCGTGATCTGGTCCATGGGGTCGCGAAGAGTCAGACTCAACTGTGCGACTGAACAACAACAACGTTTTCAGAGCCAGCAGGGCACTCTGAACATGTACCCATCCCTCTCCAGGGTCAAGATCCAAGAAGTTTCGCTCACAGGTGTTGGGAAAGCCCTCCACACACACACACACCCCAGATCTAGGGGAGCGTCATGTGTTCCTACTGAGCTCTATTCCTTGACAGTTGCCAGCGCTTCCAGATGTATCCACCAGATGGCATCATTCTCAACACTTCACAGGCATCTTAAAACGAGTGTTTTTCTCTCCTCCACCTTTGATTTATGGGTCAGAACACCTGCACCAAGGTTATTGCTCCAAGTAAACAGCCTTCTCATACCTATGATGTTTCCAGGAATCCTTGTCTAAAAGAGATGTCCCAAGAATACCAATTGGCTGGCCTTAGCGATTCATCTCATTCTCTCCCATTACAGATGGGTCAACGAGAACAACTCATTCTGAACGGAAGCAGAACTTTTGACTGCAGTACAGCTATTGCAATCCACCTCTCCCTCCCTGGTGTGGGATCATATCAGTTTGGTGAAGTGATTAAGTGCGCAGACTCTAATCTGGGAGAACCAGGTTTGATTCCCCACTCCTCCACTTGCAGCTCCACTTGCAGCTGCTGGACCTTGGCCAAGCCATAGTTCTGATAAGAGCTGTCCTGGAAAAAGAGCAGTTTCTGTCAGAGCTCTCTCAGCCCCACCTACCTCACAGGGTGTCTGTTGTGGGGAGGGGAAGGGAAAGGGATTTGTAAGCCGCTCTGAGACTCCTTTGGGTAGTGAAGGGTGGGGTATAAATCCAATCTCTTCTTCTTCTATCATATCATACCATAACTGGCCAAATCTGAAGATACTTAAATCTGGTTAGTAGAGATATGAACAGGCAAGACTGATCTTTCTAGAAATCTGAAAAAAAATCTCTTTGCAGAAACATATGAAATCTTTAAAAAGTACATTGGAGAGGTTTAAAAAACACAAAAATGATAAAACGAGCACCTGTAGCTTTAAGCAATGGATTCCCTCAGTGGCTGTTGCTAGGCAACCACAGTATGCCAGGCTAGGTTTCTGTGAGTAAAAAGCAGGGGGAGAGGGCCTGGTTCTTTCCAGGCCTGTTTTGGCTTTTGAGGGAAGACTCATTGGGGTCAGGCCTGAGTCCTAGGGTTGCCAGCTCCAGGTTGAGACATTCCTGGAGATTTTGTGGTGTAGTCTGAGAAGGGCAGGGTTTGGGGATGGGAGACGCCTCTGCCAAATATAATGCCATGGAGTTCACCCTCCAAAGCAGTCATTTTGTCCAGGGGGACAGATCTCTGTCAGCCGGAGTTTAGTTGTAACAAGAGGTGGGACCCACGATACTCGGGGGGGTGGAGTATTCCCCACAGCTCCCGGCCTGCAGAAGCAAGAGGCAGCAGGTGAGCTCAGCCTTCTCCCTCCCCCCCCCTCCCCAGCAGCGGCGGCGGCGAGGCCTGCCAGCCTAGCTTTCTCCTTCCCTCCTCCCTTCCTGGCGGCGGCGAGGCCGGCCCGCCAAGCTTTCTCCTTTTTCTCCTCCCTCCAGTGGCGATGGCGGTGAGGCCGGCCCGCCCGCCCATCTTTCTCCCTCCCCCCCTTCCCCGCAGCGGCCGCAAGGCAACGTTCTAATCTCTCACCGTTGATGTCTGGAGTTAGATCCCTGCGAGAGGCCATTTTAAAAGGTATTGGGGAGAATTCAACCCTCCCTGAAGGGATTTTTTTACTTTTTAGATTTTTCTGCACACTTAGGAAGGCCCATGACTATGTGGGAAAAGCTGTTGGGGGAGAGTGAGCCCTCTGTTGGCAGAAATAACTATCCGCACAGGGTGGGCAACTTGGCTATTAGATATATAGATTCTGGGAGATCTCCAGGTCCCACCTGGAGGCTGGCAACTCTAGGCCTGGAAGTAACCCCCGGGCGACTTGATATCATCCAACCTGCATGACTGAAGTAGGCCTTGCTGCTGTTCAGTAGCAGCCACCCTATGAAAGCCAGTGTGTTGTAGAAGTTAGAACTTCAGAGTAGGGCCTGGAGACCCTGGTTCCGATCACCAGTCTGTCATGGAAGCTCACTCTGTGAGCCCATCACAGACTTTCAGCCTAACCTACCTCACAGGACTGTTGTGAGAATACAGAGATGGAGAGAATTATGTAAGCTACTTTGTTCCCCACTGTCGAGAAAGGTGGGGTATGAATGAAGTAAATAAATAATACCTATAGCTGGAGATGGGAGGCAGATAAATGGTTAAGTTGTTGAACAGCTGAGTAGGAGAGTACAAGGCAGGGAACATGGAGAGGACAGGGGGGTTGCCAGGAGGAGGGAAAGAGGAAATAGTGTGGGGAGAGGGATACAGAGGAAAGTGAGGAGCACCCCGCAAGTTCTTGTGGCTTCCCTGCCACGCAACTGGGCATAGTGCAGCAGGCGTCACCACACAACTGAGCCATAGTTTTCCCAAGGAAGAGGCTGCGGGAGGCAGGGGAGCTCAACAAGAGGGGAGCAGTTGGCTGTTGGGTGTGGAGGAGAGAAGGAAGAAGGCAAAGGAGAGAGGCTAAAGGGGCTTTCAGGGAAGGGAAAGACAAGATAGTGAGAAAGGGGAAACGACAAGCCCCCTGAAAGTATTTGCAAGTCCCACACTTGTAGTGTTCTAGATCTCAAACAGTAATAATTCCATAATAAACTGCTCTGTGCCTAATTGGCTTAAGCTGGAAATGTTGAAAGATTATAGATCTTTTTTTCCTTCCTTTCGCTGAACTATCCCGATAAAATATCTGCCCATCTTTTATTAATGCCTCTAGTGTCCAATCCATAATCTTTAAAAATCCGATTATTACCTCCTCTCCATCCCAAAAAAAACCCCCTGCCTTTCAGTGGTTAATTATAAAAGGAAAGTACAAGTCAAAGGTGATGTGTTCTGGTGTGTGTTCGGGTGGGGGGGTGGCTCTGCAACTTACCTGGCTGCTTCTTGCTCTGACTGAGGGCTGCTGGGAGCAGGGGGTGGGGCTTGTTGCATGTGCCCGCCCCCTGGGCTCTTTACTGCCGGAGCTCCACTCCTGTGCGCTCCTGCAGGAAATGACCCCTGGTCTAATCTATTAGAAAGGAAATGTAAGAGACAGCTGGGAAATAGCAAGGCACAACACACACACACACCCAATGCTTGGTTCCAGCCGCAGTGGAGAGCTCTCTTCTCTAAGAAATATTTGTATTGAATTTTAATGGGGCGTTTGTGTGCGTGTTTCCTATGAGCCAAATTGGTAGCTAGTTTTAGTTGGAAAGTGTGATTAAAAAATAAAAATCATGTAAGGTCCTTTTTGGGGTAGTGATTTCCCTTGGACAAATTGGGCAAGGCTGATTCATCTGATGTTCAAAAAGCCCTCTGAAAGCACCCAGCTGCAGCCGGGCTGTTTTTCACCTTCAGCCTCTCCAAAACACCTGAACGCGCTTCGTGATCTGTCGGCTGCAAGGCCACGGAATCAAGGCTGTGGCACAAAAGAAGAAAGCCCTTCCGTGTGGCTGCGTGAGCCCGAAGAAGAAGAAAACCACAAAGCCTTAAGAGAGTACAACATGACTTTATTATATGAATTACTATTAAACATCTTTAAGAAAAAAATCATGTATGGAAATAAATTCTAAAATAGCAACACACACAAACGTCACAGAAGAGTCTCTTTTTTATGTCTCCTTTTTAAAAACCTTTTTTGTTTTCGTTATTTTTTTTAGAGAAAGCAATACAAACGTTACTGAGGATTGTACATTGTTCGATAGGAGAAACACAACTTGATTTTTCGTGAGCCCATCTTGGCTGCTCTTGAACCCGTTTTTTTTTGTGTGTGTGTGTGTCTTATTTTTTAAAAAAGGATCCGCAGGAACCCTCCCCACCTGCCTCTGGGCGATACCCCACAGGACAGATTGGCCAAGATGTCTGATGGGTTCAGACTGCAGGCAGTGCCCGTCCCCAGCTGCTCTCCCGACTTCCCTTCTAGCTGCCCTTGTGGCCAAGTTCTCACAGGGGGCGGAGTCAAGAACTGTCCTTCCCCCCCATGGGCTGGGCTCCTGGCACGGGGTGGGGTGGGGGAGAGCTTCTCTTCCTAAGCTCAGTGAGGCCGAAAAGAAGACGACCCTCTGGGGAGCAATGTTCCCTCTAAGCTGTGGGGTCCTATGAGCAAAATATCTACTTTGTGAGCTCCTGGCATTAAAGCTGTGATTGAGCGATTTGGCTGCTGCATGAATTAGTTTGCTCTGGAGCCATATCCTTCCTGAGCGAAGACAAAAATGTGTGAGCTGGAGGCTAAGAAACTGTGAGCTAGCTCACACTCACTCAGCTTAGAGGGAACACTTCTGGGGAGCCACCGTGCCACCTGCCGGCTAGCCTGTCCGCTTGGGGGGAGGTGGGGCCTCGGAGGATGATGGCTATCCAGGAACTTGGGAAGCCAGTCTACATCGCGGCCAGTTGATGCAGTCTTTTTACTACCACACAATGAATTCCCATTTCCCTTGAATTTCACTGAAAACAGGCGACCGTATTCACTTGCGTCAAGGGGGGGCTGCCCGCCTGCATCTTTTTAGTGTGTGCTTGGGGTGGGGGGGAGTGACACCTATGGATTCTGCAAAGGGGACAGGTGCCCCGATATGTCCTCCCCCCTCCCCGGATTTCCACAAAGCCCCCCTTCCCCTTCCCGGCCAGGCGCCTTTTAGTCAACTTGCCCTTTCTCTGCAGGGGCGCAGGCAGTGGAATGCCTTACTGGCTCCTCTACGCATCTTTCTGCATTCATGGAGAGTTTTAACGGGTTCAGCCCGCAAGCAGCCTCCAAGCCGGGGATGTTCAAACAAGCGGATCCGCGGCGGCTCTGGACGAGGACAGAGGAACAGCCGGGTGCTTATTCAAACTAGAAACTAATGGAGGGGGAAGGGGGGGGACCAAAGCAAGCCCTTCTTGTTCTATGGCTGGGTTTGTTTTCTCGCAGCGAGCCGCCAGCTCGGCCCTTAGCAACGAGCAGATGCTGGCTCTGGAACCAGGTGGAGACGGAGGCAGGGAGGCTCGATCCAGAGGGCCTGTTTGTCTCTGCCAGGCTGACTCGCTCTTTCAGAAGCAAACTGTTGGTGCCTGGCGGCCTCTCTGGTCTGGCATTTCTTTCTTTAAGCCGTACTGTTGAACCTCCCTTTGCAAACAGCCCAGTCACCTGGCTCTTAAGCGGACACAGGGTGGCCGAGTCGGAGAAGCTAAACTTTGCTGGGTGACGTCATTGCCTCGGAGAGAGCAAACCAATTTCATTCAGGGCTCTTGTTCTGTTTTGTTTCCTTTTGTTTGCTAAGCCCCCACCCCACCCCACCCCCACATCCTCTCCGAAGCCACTGTTGGTACACATCTTAAAACCTGCCCTGTCAAATGGAGAGAAGAAGTGCCTGTTTAAAACTGAACATTCCTTGGCAAGTGCAGACATGAAACTTCACACCTCTGGCAGTTCAAAGGGGACCGTCACCACCCAGCTCTTGAGATCTGCATTAGGAGGCCAGGGTCTAAAGATCCATTTAAAAAAAAAGAAGAAGAAGGTGGCTTGAAAACAAACTCTTCAAGAGTCAATTGGTTGTTTTGAAGAATTCAGATGCCCATCGTCTCCTAGTGGCATTTTTAAGACTGAAGAATAGACATTTTAGGCCCCTATCTGGGAGGAAGCATGTAAGCACCCCAGACTTCCAAAATGAAGTGAACTTCAAGCTTGCCCACCTATGTAGAGAAGGTGCTGACCTAAATGTCTGCAGACCACCCGAGCAGTTTGCAGTGGATCAACAGCAAATGCATCCCCCCCCCTCCATTCAAATCCAGAGAGAAGGGAATGACCTCTTTCACCCCCTGCACCACCATCCCAACTCCAAACCTCTGCTCACTTCTGGTCACCCAAACCGGAAAAAGGATCCTGTAAGATGCAGACAAGGGTAAACCAGAATAATCAGGGGATTGGTGCGCCTTCCCTACAAAGAAAGAGAACATGACAGAGGCTTATAAAATTAGGTGTGGTATGGCGGAAGCGGAGAAAGGGAGAAGTTATGTTCTTATTTCCCACCATAGAAGAACTTGTGGGCACTCAGTGAAATCCATGAGCAGTAGGCTTAGAAAAGAGGAAAGGAAGTACACCTTCACCCAAAGAGTAAGGAACACGGGGAATTCACTGCTGCAGGAAGGGGTGGTGCTACAAGAAGTGTTCCCTCTACGCTGAGTTAGTGTGAGCTAGCTCACAGTTTTTTAGCCTCTGGCTCACACATTTTTGTCTTAACTCAGGAAGGAGGGCTCCAGAGCAAACTAATTCATGCAGTATCCAAATAGCTCGCTCACAACTTTAATGCCAGTGGCTCACAAAGTAGAATTTTTGCTCACAAATCTCCTCAGCTTAGAGGGAGCATTGCCTACAAGCATAGACGGCTTCAAGAGGGGATTGGGCACACATATGGTGCAGAGGTCCATCAGTGGCTACGAGCCACAAGGTATAGATGTCTGGGGCAGTGATGCTCTGTATTCTTGATGCCTGGGGGGCAACAGGGGGAGGGCGTCTGGAGTTCTGGCCCCACGGGTGGACCTCCTGACGGCACCTGGGTTTTGGCCACTGTGTGACACAGAGTGTCGGACTGGATGGGCCATTGGCTGGATCCAGCATGGCTTCTCTTATGTTCTTAACTTTTCCTCCCCCTCCCAGGAGTACCTGAACTTGAGGACACCAAATGAAGCTGACGGGAAGCAGATTCAGGACCAACAGTCCCTCTAATTCCCACCCCCCACTAAGCAGAGAAGTTCACATCTGACTGGAAGTGGCTGTTCAGGGTCTCAGGCAGACAACAAACTTTCCCAGCACCTACATGAGATTTAACTGGTGACGCCAAGGACTGAAATGGAACGTTCCTCATACACCCAGGTGTTGGCCCTCCCATAATTCAGTGTTCCTTATGTAGATCACCACAGCAAATAAAATAGCCACCACCAGGATGCCATAACAGTCAAGAGGTGTCCTGCCCTCCAAAACAAACCAGATGCTGAAGAACCAACCCCGTGTCCCTCTGCAAGGCCTTCAGTCTAAAAATTCCTTCACATGTGGCTTCATCCCACGTTTCTGAGGTAGTGCTTGAAACTCTGGCAACTTCCACGGGCCAAGCCAACTGTGCGGGCTCTTTGCGCCCAACTGCCACCTAACGCCTTTACCTCAACATCTTGTGACAAAACCATAAGGAACCCCCCCCCCCAACACTGAAGTAGCTTACAAGGAGAGAAGACAAATTATAACCCCTCATACAAATTCTATTTTTCATGTTTTTAGTGATGTAGGAATACAAAATTAGAAGACGGGTCACCTGAGTACAATGGGGAGAATGCGTTTTTAGTACTGTGGATAATTCTTTAAAGTTCGCCTTTTAAACTCAAGGGCCGAAGCCAAAGATTGAGCTGTTGTGGCATTTTTTCTGGCTGAAGTGTGGGATGAGCAGAAACACATTTCCAAAGAGAAATGCATTTTCATTATTCTGATTATGACAACGAGATCTTGATTTGGGCTTACTCCTATTAGCAGCAACAATGATAACAAAACAATTTGGCAAAATTCTGAGGCCACGCTATACCAGGATGAAAGTCACCACGCGTCTGCAAAAAGAGATATGTTTTCAAAAATGCTAGCCCCCAAACCACCAACAGTATAATGCTTTTTCATCATAATATCTCAACAGCATCGTGCAACACAGAAATACGGAGGTCTGACCCGTCCAACTTCACAAACTCCAAATCCATTCTCCAGCAGCAAAGATTTCCATGGAAAAATTCAGATCAGCTGTTAATTTAATCACTCTTTTTGGCTGGATTCCTCAGATAAGGAATGGGTTGGGTAACCCGTTCGTAAGAAAGCACTGTGCCTGACACTGTAATGCTTGTACTTTGGAAGACGTCCTATAACTTCAGGGCAGGGATGAAGTACCAGCCCAGAAAAGCATCTTCCTTCTTGACCTACTTCCAACGCTCACCTTGTTGTTTCTTTTCCAATTTGCTGATCAAAGCCCAGTTAAGGACCTAGGAAACAAGAAGTGAGGAGCAACAGTTAAAAACCGACTACACCCATTTTATCGGCAATATCGGTAATTCGGCTTCAAAGGGAACCTTGGCACACAAACGAGGAGGAGGAGTTCATCAATTAAAATTCCGTGTCAGAAAGGACTCCACAGCACATGAGTATATGCAGTACAATGACGTGTTTGTGCCATCAGTTTTGCAAGGTCTAAGCCAGCAGCTTTGGATATTCTTTTAGAGCACTTATGGCGATCAGAAAGGAGCAAGATATCGAAGTAGAATAGTATGAGTTGGATTCTGTGACCTTCCTTCCCCTAAAGGGGATCCTCTCGCTCTCTTCCAGTAAGTCTTCTTTCAACAGAACAAAGTTTGAGTCCAGGGGCACCTTTGAGACTAACAAAGTTTCGTGCTTGCACACGAAAGCTTATACCCGGAATTCAACTTTGTTAGTCTCAAAGGTGCCCCTGGACTCAAACTTTGTTCTGTTGCTTCAGACCAGCACGGAGACCTGCCTGATTCTTTCAACAAAGAAAGACTTCCTCCAAAGGAGAATGACTTCTTCTGATGCAGAAAAGCCTCCTCCGTTGTAGGAAAACTGAATGCGAGTCGCAAAATCCAACCCAATCCAGGGTAAATTTCCCATCCTTTGAATGCAAAGCGCCTGCCTCCCCCCTCCTCCTGCAATCCATTGATCTTCACAAAATGCTGCTCCTGGGGGAGGATAAGGAGCCCTGAAGGGGGAGGTGGGAGAAGATTTCCCTTTGTGGAATATCCACTCTGGACCTGAGCCCACGTGTGGAGGTGCCGGAACAAGAGCAGGGGTCGCTGAGGTCACCTGCACAAGTGGCCACTCACCTTACTGTGCTTCTCTGGATGCCTCTGCTTCCACATCTAACTGTCGTCTTCTTCCCTGGATGTCTTCATCTGAAATGCAAAAACAGGTCAGTCAGGATCCCGAAACGGGCAAAGACACAGCCACCCCGCTTGCCAACTACGTGTTGTCCATGCCAAGAGTTCCTCCCACAGACATGGGCCCACAGGAGTGGGGGGGAGGGGAATATAAGCAGGGTCATATAGATACATTGGCTCAGTCTGTGAGAGTTGAATTGCATGGCAAGCTCCTAAGTTATTCAGGATTCGACATTCATTCTCCTTGCCCCATAAAAGGTGATCCGTTCTGTCATGTATTAGATAAGCATATGGAGCAGAGGTCCATCAGTGGCTATTAGTCACAAGGAATAGAGAGAGACTCTCAGTCTGGGGCAAGGGATGCTCTGTCTTGTTGGTGCTTGGGAAGGGGGGGGCAACAGTGGGAGGGCTTCTAGTGTCCTGGCCCCACTGCTGGACCTCCTGATGGCACCTGGTATTTTTGGCCACTGTGTGACACCAAGTGTTGGGCTGGATGGGCCATTGGCCTGATCCAACATTGGCTTCTCTTATGTTCTCTTATGTATAAGTAACCTTCAGACAAACTCTCGTAGCGTAGCTTAACCTGGTCATAGAGCACAATCAGGGAGCACTGTTCACATGGGTTTTGTATAATAGAGCAACAATAATAAGAAGAAATTGCTGTAAGGTTCACAAATCACAATGAATAGATAATAACAACTTGTACAAAAATGACGCTTGATGATGTTTATAATTTCTATGTTTTCAGAACACAGGACGTCAAATACGGAAGGTGAGCAATACGAACATCTCGAGTGGTTGTTCGTTTCGAGACAACTCTTATTCAACCAAAATTCAGTTCTCTGGTTGTCTTATTGTGTTTAGCTGTGATATCAATCTTATCCAACATCCGTTTCAAAAGCACATGGGCTAACAAGTTTTAACAGCACAAAGGCTAACAAATTTTAAATTTGGATAATAGAGGCCACGGGTGAGCATGCACGCAGCATCTGACAAAGACCAGCAGGAAGGACTGGTTTGAGTTCGTTGAGAACCCTCCTCCAATCATCTTCCTCTCCTTTTTTCTTTTTGCCTTCTGCCTGCATTTTTGCAACCTCTCCTCAACCTCCTGCCCCCCTTTCCTGGCTTTGCGCCTCTTGCTGTCACTGGCCGATCTGCTTTGACATCACAATGGGCCTGAACCAGCACCCAGCTCCTCTGGCTGTCCCTGAATTGCCTTGCACTGATGTCACAGAGGGGACAGGACAGTCTAGGGATAACGGGGAACTGGAAAGTTGAGAATTTGAATTTTGTCTCCCTCGCAGCCTCTGTGTGAGTGTAGTGGAACTCTTCATGCCTCCCCGAACTTTCAGTGCAATGCTGAAAATGACCGTTCTTCTAAACGCGTACAAAAGGCAATTCCTTCCCCACTGGCAAGTAAAACCACACCGCTTTCACCTATCTAAAGTTGGAAGGGGGGTTTCAGTGCCTCTTTTTCTAGGAATCAATCACTAAATGCTTCCCCACCTAGAGACCTTTAATCTACTTTAGGGCAAGGGAGACTGTTTTCGAGATTTCAGAACGAGAGGCCTGCTGCTGTTCACTGTCACCGAATGAATTCACAGTCCACCAGTCATGTGAGCTTTAATCAATTAAACCTGCTTAAATGTGCATATGGATAATACAGTACTTTTGAAGAACAGAACACCCTTTCTTTAGTTTTGGGTGGCACATGAATACATCTCCGCAGAAACCGCAAATTTAAGAGGCCTTCTATGCCGTGAGGGCACTTGCCTCCTGCATCTTTTTCTTTGCAAGTGCTTGTATAATAATAATAATAATAATAATGATGATGATGATGAAGAAGAAGAAGAAAAGGAAGAAGAAGAAGAAAAGGAAGAAGAAGAAGAAAAGGAAGAAGAAGAAGAAAAGGAAGAAGAAGAAGAAAAGGAAGAAGAAGAAGAAGTTTTATTAAAGTACATTGCCTGATTGATTGGGGGTACTTTCTTGTTGCCCTGACCTGGAGGGCCCAGGCCACCCCAGGCTCATCAGATTTCAGAAGCTCAGCAGAGTCAGCAGCCCTGGTTAGTCCTTGGAGGGGAGACCCCCGAGGAAGTCCAGGGTGGCTACTACGCAGAGGCAGGCGAGGGCCAACCACTTCTGTCCATCTGCCCCAATCCGGATGGCCCAGGAGGCTAGCCCGACCTCGTCGATCCTGGCTGCTGAGTAGGGCCTGCCTACTATTTGGGTGGGAGGCCACCCAGGAGGGCCAGGGTCCCTCTAAGCTGTGGAGTCTTGTGAGCAAAAATTCTACTTTGTGAGCTACTGGCATTAAAGTTGTGAGTGGGAGATTTGGCTACAGTGTAAATCAGTTTGCTCTGGAGCCCTCCTTCCTGAGCTAAGGCGAAAATGTGTGAGCCGGAGGCTAAAAAACTGTGAGCTAGCTCACAATAACTCAGCTTAGAGGGAACACTGGTCATGCTGCAGGGGCAGGCCATGGCAACCCACCCTCTGAACGTCTCTTGCCTTGAAAACCCCTCCAGGGGACACCATAGGTCAGCGGTGACTTGACAGCGCCTTCCTCCTCCTCCACCCCCACCTCCCTTTTTGGTAACCCAGTGGGTTCCAGTCAAATAAGCTGCCCTACTGACTAAAGAGTTGCACCCCCAATCCAACACACACCAGCGTGCCACAGGAGTAGCTGGAACCCAGCCCAAAAGAAGAGAGCGCCCCCCCCCCAACCAAGCCAACCTCTTACCGCAGGAATGTCCTTCAACGTCATCAAGGAGATTCGCCGTCGAGGCCGCCGTCCCCATCCTGCACTTGCAGATAAGGAGCAAACTTAACCGACGGTCTCATCGAGCCCCCCCCCCCCCGGGGGGAACCCACACTGCTGGTTTTTAGCAGCCAGAGCTCAGCCCTGGACCAGGCGAAAGGCCCCCCCGTGAGGCGCATGCCGAGTGAGTGCCATTCCCTCAGCAGCCTCCTCCGGGCGAGGCCTCACCTAGGCCAGTTGGGTCATGGCCTTTCTCTGCAACAGGTTCATCCCTCTGGAATGACCGGCCAGCCGTCACCTGCCGCATTCAGGAAGGGGTGCGAGACTTTACTTACAAAGGAGGAAGAGTTGTTATTAGGTCTGTGGAGGACATGTATAGATTTAAAGGGGACAATTTAGATGACTTTGGTGAATTATAAAAAACTGCACAATGGAAGTTCAGCTGTTGTCATAGAATGTTAATGGACTAAATTCACCGAATAAGAGGAATAGAGTCAAATGTTGGATACAAAAACAAAAATGCAACGTGATATGCTTGCAAGAAACTCACATCAAACGGCAAAATGAAAAGCTTTTAGTAAATAAATCTTTTGGAGAAGAATTTTACTCTCTAGCTGTAAATAAGAAAAAAGGAGTAGTGACTTATGTTAAGACAGAATTGCAACCGAAAGAAATTTTCAAAGACTCTGAAGGAAGATATGTTGGGGTAGAGATCTTAGAACATCAGAAGAAAATACTGGTAGTAAATGTATACGCACCCAATGGAGCAAAAGAAAATTTCTTCAAAGACTTGCTAAATTAACTGCAACAACAAACTTATGAACAAGTGATTTTGGCTGGAGATTACAATGGAACAGTTGAAGTTATGGATAGACAACCGCAAAAGGGACACGGACACAGTGGCAAATTGCCAAAGACTTTTTTTGATTTAGTACAACAAGAGAAATTGGAAGATGTATGGAGAAAATGGAACCCCACTAAAAAGGACTACACTTTCTATTCCAATAGGCACAATTCTTTTTCCAGGATTGACATGATATGGATGTCAGGTGAACTAGCAATTAATACCCGCAAAATTGAAATTCTGCCTAAAGTCATTTCAGACCACAGTCCACTGATATGGAGTATGAAACAGAGCAATAAACAATACTTATGGAGAATAAATGAAGACCTGCTAGACAGGAAAGAAACGGTGGATTTATTAAAAGAAGAAAGGCATGCAAAACTTGAGTCTTCTGTCTTCAGTCTTCGAGTTCTTCTTCGGTGCATATTAGGACCACATCAATGATTGGCTTGGTGAAAGTCTTAGTCGGCCAGGGGCGGCTCTGTGGGCCATCGCGTGTGATGACATGGACTTCAATCTTGCGGACCAGTCTATCCTCGCCAGGCAAGGCTCGATCTACAAGACCTATGGGCCACGAGTTGTGGGGTGCATCTTTCTCCCACAGCAGTATGATATCTCCTTCCTGCAGGTTAGCCTTGTCCATTTCCCACTTGCGTCGGCTTTGTAAAATCGGAAGATACTCTTGCTTCCAACGCTTCCAGAATGTGTTCGTGAGAAGTTGCACTTGCCTCCATTGTTGTTTGAACATGTCTTTCGCCACAAAGGTCCCTTGAGGTGCTGGCCATTCGCCTGTCTTTAGTGTCAGCAACGTTGCTGGTGTCAGGATGGTTGGGTTCTCAGGATCTGAAGACACTGGAACCAGAGGTCTGATATTGATGATGGCAGAGACTTCTGCTAGGAGAGTAGACAATGTCTCATGTGTGAGGGAAGGTGTTCTTGCCAACATGGAATCTAGGATCCTGTGTGCAAAGCCTATCATGCCACGCTCCTCCCATATGTGAGGCGTGAGGAGGATTGAATATCCATGTACAATTCTGGCTGAGCGTGGGATCAAAGTTGGTGCTTCTGTTTATTCTCAGCTCCCTGCATGCTCCTACGAAGTTTGTGCCATGTCTGACCTGAGTACCTTGACAGGACCACGTATGGCAAGAAATCTCCTAAGGGCATTTATGAAGCTTGAGGTATCCATGGACTCGATCACCTCAATGTGGACAGCTCGGATACTCAGGCACGTGAAGAGCACGGCTCAACACTTGCTGTTGGCCTGCCCTCCCCTAGTTTTGCGTGTCACCACACTCCAGGGGCCAAACACTTCAAGGCCTATGTTGGTAAAGGGGGGCTCTGTACTGAGATGGTCTGGTGGTAGATCGGCTATTTTCTGCTGCTGATAGAGCCCCTTGAGTTTACAACACTGTATACATCTCTGAAGTGCCGCAGCAATGCATCTCTTCGATTCGATGATCCACAGGCCTGCTGCCGTGATGGCTTCTTCTGTGAGATGCTGTCCTTGGTGACGAACCCTTTCATGGTAGTGTTGCACCAGCAAGAGGGTGATGTGCTGCCGAGCTGGGAGAATGATTGATCACTCCTGGTGCCACATCAGCCATATTCAAGCGTCCCCCTACTCGGAGTAGTCCATCGTCATCAAGGAAGGGGCTCAACCTAAAGAGGGGGCTGGTCTTTGGTGCTGTTCTCTCTTTTTTGAGACACTTGAACTCCTGTAAATAAGACTCACATTGCACACTGCGTAGGATTAGCTTCTCTGCCCAACGCTGTTCCTCTAGTCGGGTCAGCTCAGTTTTTCAGTGATACAAATAGTGGATGATGCGTGCTATTCCTAGGAC